AAGTCATATAACTCTACAACTTCAAAGAATTAGAGAGAGAACAACAAGAAAAACCCAGAGTGAGCAGAGGGAAGGAGATAATAAAGATCAGAGCAGAAATAAATGACATAGAGACCAAAAAAAAAACAATACAAAAGATCAATGAAATCAAGAGCTAGTTCTTTGAAAGGATAAACAAGATTGATGAACCTCTGGCCAGGCTCACCAAGAAGCAAAGAGAGAGGACCCAAATAAACAAAATCAGAAATGAAAAAGGTGAGGTAACAACTGACTCTATAGAAATACAAAGGACTGTATAAAAAACAAAAACAAAAACAAAAAACTACGAACAGACAACTCCACTCCAATAAACTGGACAACCTAAAGGAAATGGACATATTCCTAGAAAAATACAACCTTCCAAAACTCAATCAGGAAGAATCTGAAAACCTGAATAGGCCAATAACTACTGATGAAATTGAAACAGTAAGCAAAAACCTTCCAGCAAACAAAAATCCTGGTTCGTACAGCTTTACAGGGGAGTTCTACCAAATACTCAAAAAAGAGCTAAAACCTATCCTCCTCAGACTATTCCAAAAAATTCAACAGCAAGGAACACTTCCAAGCTCATTCTATGAAGACAAAGATAAAGACAAAACCAAATAAAGACACCACAAAGAAAGAGAACTACAGGCCAATATCCCTGATGAACACAGATGCTAAAATCCTCAACAAAATTCTAGCAAATTGGATCCAGCATTACATTAGAAATATCATACACCATGACTAAGTAAGATTTATTCCTGGGATGCAAGGATGGTACAATATTCACAAATCAATAAATGTAGTACATCACATTTGAGAGACAAAGATCACATAATCATATAAATCGATGCAAAAAAAGCATTCAACAAAATCAAAAACACTTTTTTGATAAAAACTCTCAGCAAAGTGGGAATAGAGGGATCATACCTCAATATGATAAAAGCCTTATATGACAAACCTGCAGTCAACATCGTACTCAATGGGCAAAAACTAAAACCATTTCCCCTAAGAACAGGAACAAGACAGGGATGCCCACTTTCACCACTCCTGTTCAACATAGTACTGGAAGTGCTAGTCAGAGTGATCAGACAAGGAGAAGAAATAAAATGCACCCAAATTGGGAAAGAAGAAGTAAAATTGTCCTTATTCACAGATGACATGATACTTTACTTAGAAAACCCTAAAGACTCCATCAAAAAGTTATTAGACTAAATAAATTAATTCAGCAATGTAGCAGGATACAAAATTAACACCAAGAAATCTATTTCTATACACCAATAGTGAACTTACAAAAAGAGAGACTAAAGAAGCAATACCATTTACCATCACACT